GAGGGTCACTCATGGGCAACCCGACGCCGAACACATACAATAAACATCAACGTCCGGCGCTCCGCGCGGATCTTTTGGATCGGCGCTGGGCACCCCTCACGCGCGGAGTCCCGAAAGTCTGTGTGCATGCTGCTTTTGGTTCTTCCCAGGAACTGACGGGGCTCAGCGCAAACGGGGATCCGCCAGAGCGCCGGATCATGCATGATCTTGGAAAGCGCGCCGTCTGCCGCTACTGGCAAGCCCCCCTCCCTCGTTCGAACAGGGGAGCGGGGTAATTGAAAACAGCCTCCCGCTCCGAACCGGGGAGAGGTTGGGGGCGGACCCGTATGCGGTACTAGTTCCGACCGACTGTGACAAGTCGCTTAAGGGCTCAAGGTCTTAAGAGTTTCAAGGGTTGAGGGTTTAGGTGCTTAAGGGTTAAACTTCTGAAAGGGCTTAAGAGTTCTAAGGCTCCCGGATTTAGATGTTTGAGGATATGGTGTTTGAAGGATTCAGGTGTTTGAGGGCTAAAGGGCTCAATGGTTTGAGGGCTTACGGGCTTAAGGGCTCAGGAACTCATCCTCTCCACCACCATCATACCCACCACCACCATCAGCATTAGCAGCGTCACCATCGCTTTCCGCGTTAACTTCATCACCATCAGCATATTTTGGCCATCGTCATTCTCATCACCTCAACATCATTATCCTCATCCCACTCATCCGCTGCAAGCACGGGGTCCTCTAAAACTCTTGTGCGACGCCTCTAAGACGCCCGTGGGACGCCACGATGTCGCCTCCAAGACGCCTCTATGACGCTCCAAGACGCCCGTACGACGCCTCTAAGACGCCCGTGCAGCGCCTCGGTGACGCCCTTATGACGCCCGTACGACGCCGCCAAGACGCCTCTGGACGCCTGTGCGACTTTTCCAAGACGCCCGTACGACGCCTGTAAGACGCCCGTGCGACGCCCCTGGGACGCCCGTGCGCGCGCTCCGAAGAAGCCCGTATGACGCCTCTACGACGCCCACGACGCCCCTAAGACGCCCGCACGACGCCTTCAAGACACCCGTACGACGCCGCTAAGACGCCTCCAGGACGCCCGTGCGACAAACCCAAGACGCCCCTACGACGCCTCTGAGAGGCCCGCGAGACGCCTCCAAGACGCCCGTGCGACGCCTTTCAGACGCCAGTACGACGCTCTAAGGCGTCTGTGCGACGCCCCTATGACGCCCGCGCGACGCCCCTATGACGCCGGTGCGACGCCCCTAAGACGACCGCGCGACGCTCGTAAGACATCCGCCCGACGCCTCGAAGATGCCTGCGGGGCTTCTCGTCGAGGTTGGTTGGACTTTCTCCTCGATTGAACCCACGGGGTGGCAGTTTTTGATTCACGTGGGTGACGCTGGTTATGACTGGTTGTCGTTTGGCCCGTTTCCGGGCGGACTCCTCCCTCTCCCCCCCCAGGTTCGATTTGGGGAAGGGGGCGGGGTTGAGAGCCCTCTCCCCCGGCCTGGTTCAGACCAGGGGGGCGGGAGGAGGGGGAGGGATTCCATTACAGCTGGATCCAGCCCTAGCAGGATTCTAGAAGAGCTGGACGTATCGTTCGTAGGATTCGATTGAAGCTGGCCTGTGCCCTAGTAGGGTCCTTTTAAATGGGAATCAAGCGCTACTACAAGATGGTCCTGCGAGGGCTGGTTGCGATTGATTATTCGTAGGTTGGATTCTATTGAGTTCGGATCGACCTCTAGTGGGATTCTGTTCAAGCTGGATCCAGCCCTAGTAGCCAGATTCGAGTAGATCAGGAACAGGCGTTTGTAGGGCTCCAGTAGAGCTGGATCCAGCCCCATGGATGTTGCAACTGCTGGATCTAGCCTCTGTAAGATTCTGCTAGAGTTGATCGAGCCCTCGTGCAGCTCTGGCAGCAGGATCCCACCAGAGCGGGACCGAGCCTTCGTTGGGTTCCAGTCGAGCTGGATCCAGCCCGAGATGGTTTTATCAGATCTAAATCCACCTTGCCTCGACGACCGACCCGCACAGTGCTCCTCGTCGGGCCCGAGGCGCAGCAACCTGGATCCAACAGAGGTAACAAACACGCCAGACACACCAGCGGGCCTCAGGGTCAAAGCCTGGACCCAAACACATGGAATTTGAGCAGAACAGAACAATATTGATTGGGGCCCAGGGACACACCAGTACGCCCCTTGATTTGCCATCTCTTCCCCTATTTTCTTGGTTCTACTCTTCCCCCCACTTCCATATTTTCCCATCTTCTCCTGGGGATTGACGATGCACTGTGTCTGTATGCTTGGTCCCCCTCTCGAGACAGACACATCAGAGCAAGGGAGGCCCGAACGCCGACCAGCCTTGCGTCCTCGCTGCGCGCGCACAGCTCGGTACCAGGGCTCGGTCTGTGGAGGCGATCCTTCGGGGGCAGCTCCTGGGGGCAACATGTGGTGGCAGATCCAGAGCCAGGCGACCGCAAACGTGGATCCATGGGGCGTGAAGCAGCGGCGGGTCCCGCTTCCATGGGAAATCGCGGATCCCCGCCGCCGAGCGAGGCGGCACCGGCCGCATTTTTGGGGAGGTGCGCCAAATCCATGGATGGACTACACGTAAGAGTGACCCTTTTGTGCGCGGCCACTGGGGTCCCTCGATCGTCGCGTGCGGTGCGACAGTAGCGCCTTGCCTGCTTGTGTTTGGTCCCCCCGCGGCCCTCAAAAAGCCGCGCTCCAAAGGTCACTCTCACCCAGGGTCACTCTTGCATAGGCCGCTCGCCGTGCTGTTCGGCAGTGTGCTTTGAGACCGCCGGCATCCCCCATGGACTGCGGGGAAGGGCTGCACGGGGGGAGGGCACGGAGATCTTTTAGGGCCCCCACGCCTGGCCAAGAGCACGCCGTTTTTTTTTTTTTTTTTTTTTGTTTTTGTTTTTTTGTTGTTGTTTTTTTTTGTGTGTGTGTGTGTGTGTGTGTTTTGTGTGTAACCGGATGGACCGCTGCTCAATGCTTGCGCGCCCCCAGCGGAGGAACACAAGGGTGGAGGCAGCCCCTCCCCTCCCCTCCTCGGCGGGCCGGCCCGGGGGCTCTCTCTCTGCGCTCCAGGGAGCGCCGGCGAGGTCTGCGCTCCTGCGTTTCCGGCATGGTGGAACGTCTTCTGAGTGAAGGGAAACGAGCAATGGCATAAAAGCATAACAACTCTGAGGTCCGCGCGAACCTCAGAGTTTTTATGCTCATGCCACTTTTTGTTCCCTTAGTAATGGGGGGGTTATACATGAGGGGGTGGCGAGGGTGGTCCGAGAAGGCACCCAAACGGTACCTACACGAGCCTCCTGGGGCTCTGGGGGGGTCCGAAAGGGGCACGAAAGGGGGCCTTTTCTGACCCCCCCAGTTTTGACCACGCCCAACTGGGGCTCTCGTCGCCATCTGTGGATGTGGGCTTCCTTGGACCGCGGACGGTTTCCACGAGTTTCGACGAGTCCCTCCGGCGTTGCTATGTGTCAGCTGTTTGTTTTGTTCACTACGGGCGTTCTTCCCCAGTGTCGGTTTCGCGGTGCCCGTGTGTGGCCGACCGGGGATGCATCGTAGACCAGGGCTGGACCCAAACGCTGTTTCGACTGACTTCGGCTGTGTGTTGTTTTTCGTTTTTGGAGGGAGTTACATGACAACAGGTGGAGCAAAACGCAACACAGCACGAAAGCAAAAGGAAACACAACGTTTAGGTCCAGTCCAGCCCTATCATAGATCCAGGGCGGGCAAACGTGCCAACGATGGGTCGAGGCCTTCTGGACCCCGCGGATGACACAAGGCACGCCGTCGCATGTCTAGGATGCCAGCTCCTCCTCCTCCTCCACCTCCTCCTCTTCCTCCACCTCCTCACGTCACACTGGGTGCATGGGGATGGCGGCGCGCCCATGGCGGCGCGCCCAGGTGGCAGGCCTTCTCAGAAGGCTTGGAATGCCTCCGGCCTTCTGAGAAGCCTTCTGAGCCTTCTCCGCAGCCACAGGCGGCTTCTCAGGAGGGAGAAGTCCCGCCGCGTTCCGAGAAGGTCTGCCTTCTCTAGCGTCCCCCTCTGGCGCGCCGCCGAGAAAGGCGCACAGAGTCTCCCTTCACCATGAGGCAGTCTTTCTATAGACTTCGGCAAGTGCATTCGCACTTGGGGGGGGGATGCGTGGCGTGGCCCGAATGGAAATCTGGACTTTGCCCAGGTCGGGGCTCTCTTGCGCGCCTTTTCGGCCTGGTGGCGCTGTGTGAAAAGGCGGCAGAGTGGGGGTAAGGGGGGGGGGGGCGAACTGTCATGAAATCAAAGGAGCCCAGAATGTCTCGCCACGATCCTCGGCCGGTCCAGCGCAGCCAAGGGGTGCCAATGCGAGTTCTTGTTTCAGTCTTTGCGATTTGCTTGCATGGCACTCCGCCCTCCCCCACGTTCCCTTCCACCGCTGCCTCGAGCAGCACTGGGCCGAAACGGCGCGCAAGTCCCGGATTGCACGAAGACCAGATTGGAGAGGTCTGACGGCCGGTGCCGCCGACCCTGATCGAAGGGGCTAGGAGGGAGAGGAGGAAGCGAAGGAGGAGGAGGAGGAGGACGAGGAGGAGGAGGACGAGGAGGAGGAGGAGGACAGGGACAAGCACGAGGACGAGGAGGAGGAGGAGGAGGAGGAGGAGGAGGAGGAGGGCGAGGAGGGGGAGGAGGAGGAGGAGGAGGAGGAGGAGGGGGAGGAGGTCCAGATGTCTTCTCGAGCCTCGCCGCGCCCTCGCCCAATGCAGGTACCTTTGCCAGCGTTTGAGGCTACGCTGCCTCCGGCCGTGCCCGTGGTCCCTCGGCAGGCCCGGGATCGGGAGCCCCATCGCTCCGGAGCGCTCGGGAACGCTCTCAGAGAGGGTTTCCGGGACGCTCCCGCACGGCCGCGGCGCCGGAGGCATCCTCCAGGGCCTCCAGGTCTCAGAGGCTCCCATGTCTGTCCCGATCCGAGCCTGTCCCGATCTGGGTTTCGTCTCCGGCTCCGCTGGCGTCCTGCGGCCTCAGGACGTCAAGCCCGCGCGGGTGGCCGGCGAGAGGGACCTCGAGAGGGAGTTCGATGCCATCTACCGGGCCTTGGAGAGCCAGCAGGATCCGGAGACGGAAAAGCTGCCTTGCTTTGCATCTTCGGGTGACTGTCCTGTACAGTGGAGGCCATGCCAAGAAACACCCTGCTTGTCTCCAGAGTGCGCTGGTTTTCTTGGGTTCGATGGTATTGCGATGGAGAGCACGACGTTCCCACACGAGAAATCCATAGAGGTCCTGGGGTCTCAGGGTTGGGTTTCTTGTGGATGGTTTCTTGTGGACTGGCCTCCACTGTAACTGGCGGTCTTCTCTTGTGCGCCGACGGGGGTTCGACGCGGACTCGGCGCGGATTTCGAGAGACGTCGACATGGATCTGGCGTGGCTTCGACGTGCATAACGGCGCGATGGGACAGACAAGGTCCCCCCGACGATGCAGCATGAAGTACTAATGCCGTCTTTTTTGGTGCGTTTTCGCGTGACTAGGCATGTTGGGAGGCCCTCGTCGCCGCGGCGGTATTAGCCTGAAATCTTACAGTCAACTCGCATAGTAAGGATGGGCTACCTTCTTAATGGTACCCTTGCATCCTTGCCTCCTCGTCCGTTGCTTGACACTTTCGTTGGCCGCGCCCCGCTCGAAAAGCGTCGAAACGGCCTGCCAATGCCCTTGCATCCTTATCGTGCGTCCTTCTGATACGGGTCGACTGTAGTCATAACGCATGCTGGGAGAGGTCCAGGGAGTAGTGGTATCAGTATTTGATGGTTTCCCCAGGGAGCCCGCAACTGAAAAAATCCCGACGGAGGTGTTTCGCCTGTTTCGGCGTCTTGAAGCCCTCAGCGGGCCCTGGGACTCCAAAAAACCGGCTCGGGATGAAAAACGGTTCGCCCAGGAGAGGTCCAGATTTTCAGGGAGGTACTTTCCCTGACAAATCCACGACGTCGGATGTCTGGGGATGGCGCCGTGGCCGCTGCTGTCGTGGGTCGGCACAGGTGAACGGTGAATGATCACGGTGTGGCGGAATTGCATGCATCCAGGCCGCCCGAATGGCGTCGAAGTAGATGGGGTCGGTGGATCGCGCCGCATCGCCAGTGCAACGGCGATGCATCGAGGGCCTGTTCTGCGCCTCTCTTCTTTGATGTCCTTTCCGTGGGGCTCCTTGCCGTCCTTTTTCGTTGTCGTCGTCCTTCTCCTCCTCCTCCTCCCCCTCCTCCCATTCCTCCTCCTCCTCCTCCTCCTCCTCCTCCTCCGCTTCATTCCTCCTCGTACTTGTCCTCCATCTCTTCCTCCTCGTCATCGTGCTTGTCTTCCTACTCGTTGTCCATCTGCTTCCCTCGCTGCCCTCCTCGTCATCCACGCTGCTATCCTCGACATCCGCCGCGTTGTCGTCGCCATCATTCCTCATTCCCCCCCCCCCCACGAGCCCAATGGACGCAGTCGGCGCTCCCCGCTCCCGTCCGATCAGCTTTGGCGCGCTGGTCCTTCATCGTTCCGACACGCACCTCCCAGGGGTCGCCTCCCCCCTGCTCCTCTCGCTCCCCCCCCCACCCCCGGGGCTCGCCGCCGGGCGGCGGGCCGGGGGCGCCCCCGCATCCGCTGCGCCGCGGCCCCGGGGGCCATGGCCCGCGAGGCCGTTGACCCGGACTTGGCCTGCGCCCCTCCTCGCTTTCCCCCCCCCCCATGGAAAGGGGGCCCAGGGACACGCAGACGAGTGGACGAGCATCCCAGGATTTCCCGCCTATCTTCTGATCCTTTCTCGGTCTCCGCCTTCCCCCCCCCCCTGCGATTCCCATGTCTACTTCCCTTGTGGTTTTCCGGGGGATCGACGTCTCATGGTGTCTGTGTGTTTTTGTTCCCTCCTGACCCTTGGCCCGCCGCCGAAAGACAGGGGGGGGGAGAAACTCCTCATAGGCTTACGCCACATCCGCCGACCCCTGTATAAACTATGGCGCCTCCAGGACTGCATTTCACGAGGCTTGTCCGAATCATGACACGGCGCTCGAAATCGTTCCTGTTGCTTCGTTGCTTCCTGGTCTTCGTAGTGCTGTCGCTCCGCGAGGTCGTTGTGGCCCAGCGTCGCCGGACTCAGTGGCAGTCTCGAGTGGCCTTCGGCCCATCCCGCCACCGTGGCTTGGTTGTGGGTGTGAAGCCTCTGGGATGTCCGTGAGGATGAAGGCCAAAGAATCGTTTCCGAACGGATGTCGATGATTTTGACGTCTTGGTGGTTCGCGGACTCTTGGAGGCAGTTTCGAAGCCTCTTGGCGGCCTTTTTGAAGCCTCTTTTGGGCCTCTTGGGATCCTCTTGGTTGCTTCTTGGAGGCCTCGTCGGGCCTCTTGGGGACCTCGGAGGCACTCTTGGGAGCGTCTTGGGGCGGAAGGCTCGGATGTGCGGTTCAGGCTCCCCCTCTTGGGCCCGTCTTGGGGCCGTCTTCCAGCTCTCTTGGGCCCTCTTGGGCGCCTTGTGGGCCGTCTTGGCGCCTTCTTGGGCAGTCTTGGGGCCCTATTGTGAACCTCTTGGGCCCTCTTGGGGCGGTATTGGCGACCTCATAGGCCGCTGTCAACGCCGCGAAGGCCGAACAGTCGTATAGACAACAAATTGACGTTTGCCTTTAGGAATGGGACGATTTTGGCTTCGTGGGTCCCTTTTCGCAAGCCTGTTGGAGCGTCTTGGCGCCGTCTTGGGCTGTCTTTGGCCCATCTTGGGCGTTTTGGAGCGATCATTCGGCGACTCTGCGCTCTCTTGGACCGTCTTGGGGGTGTTTTGGGAAGGTCGACGGATTGTCGTGGAGCTCCAGGACGAGCCTGGGAAACCCAGCCCCCCCTGATGAGTTCGGGGGTGGGCCCCGGGGGGCGAGGGGGGGGGGGGGGGTCAAATTGTCGGTTTGGGTGAGGTCCCCGGGGGGGGGGGGGCTTATGGAGGGGGGAACAATATCACACGTAGAGACCCACACGGGGTCGGCGGATAAGAGCAGTGACGGGGACGACGAAAACCCAAACACTACGGATCGGGGGTGGACAGACCTCCTACCCTGACACGTCGATTAAGGAATTGGCCGTTTTCGTTTCGCGAGAGGGCGTCGCGGCCGTCATTTTTGCGGGTCCAGGTCCGTCGGTTTCGGTCCCAAGCCGTTTTCATTACGTGGAGGTCTATTAAAGGGAGGTTTGTCCACGGCCGAACGGACAAAATAAGGTGCATCCTGGGCGTTGTGTCTATTTATTTGTGTGTTTGTGGGCCCCTTCACTTCTCGCTCCCCCCCTCCTCCTCCTCCTCCTCCTCCTCCTCCTC